ATGTTGCAATGCGCTTCCTGTACGAGTGCCCTTGGCGGCGGCTGCAGGAGCTCCGGGAGCTCGTCCCTAATATCCCGTTCCAGATGCTGCTGCGGGGAGCCAATGCCGTGGGCTACACCAACTACCCCGACAATGTGGTTTTCAAGTGAGCCTGGGGTGGGGTGGGCAGACACTGCACGATGTGGCCCGGCAGGTGCCAGGCCACAATGCAATGGCCTGCGCTCCCCACAGCAGGCTTGAAACCAAGTCTCTCAGTAGCTGTACCCAGCAAGGGCTGCAAGTTACAGTCAGAGAACTGGGAGGGCTTCCAGTGGAGGCCCCAGGAGGGCAGGTGACTTGTCCCAGGCCACGTGGTATAGAGCTGGGGCTGAAACCCAGGCCTGTCTCCCTCAGCCTGCCATTCTTTTGCAAAGCAGAATCCCCAGCAGATTCTTCGAACTTGGGCAGACTGAGCTGCACTGCATGCGACTAGCACAGGACAGCTCCGCTCCTTGCCGGATGCTGCTGGGGCGACCCTGCCCAGCCCAGGCTGCCCTGGAGAGGCCTTGTCCACACTATGGACATACTGTGGTGCCCCCTGGCTCTGTGGGTGCCACGCCCCCTGCCAGACCCAACCCTCAGATATTATTCCCCAGGGGCTGCAAGTGGGCCAGGAGGCAGAAAAGGATGTGCTGCAGGGAGTGGGATGGCGCTAACCCCTGAGCTCTCCTACCCACTCAGGTTCTGTGAGGTAGCCAAGGAGAATGGCATGGATGTCTTCCGGGTCTTTGACTCCCTCAACTACCTGCCCAACCTGCTGCTGGGCATGGAGGCGGCGGGCAGTGCCGGTGGTGTGGTGGAGGCTGCGATCTCCTACACGGGTGACGTGGCCGACCCCAGCCGTACCAAATACTCGCTGCAGTACTACATGGGCTTGGCTGAAGAGCTGGTGCGAGCTGGCACCCACATCCTGTGCATCAAGGTGCCTGGGCCCAGCTCACCCCCAAGAGTCTCCCCACCATGTCCCTCATCCCCCCCATGTCACGCCTCCTCCTCACCATCTTTCTCTTTCTCCTCTCCTCTTCCCTTAGGACATGGCAGGGCTGCTGAAGCCAATGGCCTGCACCATGCTGGTCACCTCCCTCCGAGACCGCTTCCCTGACCTCCCATTGCACATCCACACCCACGACACATCAGGGGCGGGCGTGGCAGCCATGCTGGCCTGTGCCCACGCTGGCGCTGATGTGGTAGACGTGGCAGCTGACTCCATGTCTGGAATGACTTCACAGCCCAGCATGGGGGCCCTGGTGGCCTGTACCCGAGGGACTCCCCTGGACACAGGTAGGAACAGCTGCAGCCCAAAGCCATTCCCCTCTCAGAGCTGCAGCCCTCACCAGTCCCAGCAGAGTTGGTCATATCCTAGAATCCAGATGCTCCGGCCTGGCCTGGTCTTGCCTTCCATCAGCCACGTCTGCGATGTGGCCTGACCTGGCCCTGGGGTCCTGGGAGGAGCATCTGGAAGCTCAGCACATTTCCAAGCCCTCTCCGCCTCTGGCCTCCCTACAGGGGTACCCCTGGACCATGTGTTTGACTACAGTGAGTACTGGGAGGGGGCCCGGGGACTGTATGCGGCCTTTGACTGCACGGCCACCATGAAGTCTGGCAACTCTGATGTGTATGAGAATGAGATCCCAGGGGGCCAGTACACCAACCTGCACTTCCAAGCATATAGCATGGGGCTCGGCTCCAAGTTCAAGGAGGTCAAGAAGGCCTATGTGGAGGCCAACCAGATGCTGGGCGACCTCATCAAGGTGAGCTAGGCCCAGTGCTCTTACCCCTGCCTCTGGGCCTCTATACGGTGCCTGGCACCCTAACCCAGGGGTCCCCTCTCCTCAGGTAACCCCTTCCTCCAAGATCGTGGGGGACCTGGCCCAGTTTATGGTGCAGAATGGGCTGAGCCGGGCAGAGGCCGAAGCTCAGGCAGAGGAGCTGTCCTTCCCCCGCTCCGTGGTGGAGTTCCTGCAGGGCTACATTGGCATCCCCCACGGGGGCTTCCCTGAGCCCCTTCGCTCCAAGGTAAGGAAGGCCCAGCACAATGTGGTGGGGTGGAGGGGAGTCAGGAAGCAGGCCTGACCCTCTGCTTTGCACCCCAGGTGCTAAAGGACCTGCCAAGGGTGGAGGGACGGCCCGGAGCCTCCCTCCCTCCCCTGGATCTGCAGGCACTGGAGAAGGAGCTGATAGAACGGCATGGGGAGGAGGTGACCCCGGAAGATGTACTCTCAGCGGCCATGTACCCCGACGTCTTTGCCCACTTCAAGGACTTCACTGCCACCTTTGGCCCCCTGGACAGCCTCAACACCCGCCTCTTCCTGCAGGGACCCAAAATTGCAGAGGAGTTTGAGGTCAGTGGCTCTGGCACCCATCTGCACTCCAACCCAGCACTCCTGCTATCCCTAAGGACCCCAGCACATCTAGAGTGCCAGGCTTTGGCTTGGCCATCACTGGGCCTCGTGAGCTATGGGTTCACAGAGTACCCTTGAGAGACCAGGGAGCTAGGCCTTTACAAGGGAGGAGCTGAGACCCAGGGAGGGGGGACTTGCCTGGGATTAGGTCAGGGGGCTGCCCTCCCCGCACCTGCCCCCGCCCCAGCTCTGAGCCTCCACACCCTCCCTGCAGGTGGAGCTGGAGCGAGGCAAGACACTGCACATCAAAGCCCTGGCTGTAAGTGACCTGAACCGGGCCGGCCAGAGGCAGGTGTTCTTCGAGCTCAATGGACAGCTGCGATCCATTCTGGTCAAGGACACTCAGGCCATGAAGGTACAGCCCCCACACAGGGCCAGCCAGGCGGTGGGGATGGGCAGGGCCTGGTGTTTCACGTCCTCTCCCCTGTCTGCAGGAGATGCACTTCCACCCCAAGGCCCTGAAGGATGTGAAGGGCCAGATTGGGGCACCCATGCCTGGGAAGGTGATAGACATCAAGGTGGCAGCAGGGGCCAAGGTGACCAAGGGCCAGCCTCTGTGTGTGCTCAGTGCCATGAAGATGGAGACTGTAGTGACTTCGCCCGTGGAGGGCACTGTCCGCAAGGTCCACGTGACTACAGACATGACACTGGAGGGTGACGACCTCATCCTGGAGATTGAGTGATCTTGCCCCGGACTGACAGCCTGGCCATCCCCACCCCAGGCCTTCAAGGTGCTGCGCTGCCAGGGCAGGCCCAGGCCAGCCAGTGCCCGAGGGCAGGAAGGCCGGGCCCTGGAGCTCCTGTCCTCAGTTGTTTGTGGCAGGAGAGACACTGCCTGTGGTGGCCCGTGCCTTTCCTCCTGCCCTCTTGTCCTTTCCCTGGCGGTGGACAGTCGCTCACATATTCATCCCTTGCCAAATAAGGGTCCCCCCCTTGCTGGAGACTACAGGTGGGGGTGCAGGCAGGCCTGGGACCTAGGGAAGCAGACTTAGGGGCCCTGCCTCTTGCAGGGGAAACCTAAGTCCCAGGTCTGAGAACTTCGCTCAATAAAACTGGCTTTCCCCTTCCCTCCATTCTGGGTCCTGTGCAGCCCACCCCACCCTAGTGCCACACGGCAGAGGGGCAGGGCTGCCTCTTGGACTCCCCCATGGGCAGGGGGGCAGTCAGTTGTATTTTCCTCCTAGGAGGGTAGTGAGGATGACAACAGGCCCTGGTTTTAAGTCACTACTAAGTGCCTATTGTATACACACCCCAAATAGGATTAGCTAGTTGTCACTGAGAGCTTGGGCTGGGGAAGGGGTTGTTCCAAGCACTTAACACCTATTAACTCAACACCTATTAACACTTTCACCCATTTTATAGACACAGAAATGGAGTCATAGGCAGGTTAAATAACTTGTCCAGGACCCAACAGGTGAGTAAAGAGAAAGGCAGGGAGGCCCTGGGCAGTTCCTGAGCAGGAGCATAAGGAAGAGGAGGGACAGAGCCCAGATCCCCTGATCCTCAGGGGACCAGGCAGGAAGTACATCCCAGCACCCTGCCAGCCTAGTGCTCTCAGGGTACTACACCTAACCTTTGGTGTGGTCCTGGGCTGCCTCCTCTCTTGACTCCCAGATCCCAAATGTACCCTCTAAAACCAGCCTGTACTCAATTCCTTGGCTTCCTTGACAGCTGCAACACAGGCTGGGGGAGAGGAAAGCTCTCCAGGGAGGTAGGTATGTGACTGTCACGATGCCCTTTTAGATCCAGTTTAGCCACAGCCAACCTGCGGGAGCTGTGGGGAGTGACTGCACAGCGGTTTCCTTTCCTTCGACCACCAGCCTCAGGGAAGGGGACTTGGGACAACCTCCTTGAGTCTGGAATGGGACCTAAAGGGATAACATTAAGAATGTTTTAAAGAAAAGCGGGGGGAGGGGGGGTCCTAGGGGCAGTGGAATGAGACTATAAGAACCATTCCAAAAACATGAGGCAGAGCAGGTAAAATACTACCAAGTTCTAGAAAGAACCCTGAGTTACAGCGTTGCTTGGCAGGGTTGCTTATGCTTGCTGGACCTTTGTTCTGGGTTCCTCCAGAGACCAAACGACTGGCACGCTGGCAGAGGTCTGAGGTGGAGAAGAGCCAGAGAAGCCACCCAGGTGACTGAACTTCCAGTTTAGACTCACTTCCTCTTGTGTAATGTGAGGCTGGTAGACTTCGGGGAGGTCCTGGTGGGAGGCCCATAGTGGACTCCCCCACCCTCTCAGAGGCTGGGGGCTCCATCACTGGGGTCAAGGCCCTGGGTTCTACTCTGATCCTGGTAGATGTGCAGAGGCCCCAGGATGAGCTGGGCCCACACCTGGTACCTAGTGCCAGGCCCACCTGTGCTAGGACTTGGGGCCTTGCTCAGGAAGGAGAAAGCTGCAGACCCAGGGCGACCACAGGCTCCCATCCTGTGTGGTACTTCAGGGAACTATGCCTACCAGGCTTACCTGCCTAGAGGTTAGTGTTCAAGGTAGCCAGGACCAGGTGGGGGGCATATCCCCAAGACCCCAAAGAGACTAATTTCCCAAAGGTCCAAGGCCATGTTACCCAAGTTAAATCTCTTTAATATCCCAATACAAAGTCCTGATGCAAAAAGACAATGAGAAAACCCTGGGAAGGTGGGAGGGTTTTTGTAAATTCCACCCCCGAGCAGCTTTTCAGAGGCAGTGGGGACAGAGCAGCTCAGAAGCAACAGTCCAAGGTGAGGAAGGGAGTGCACGGCTCCTGGGACCCACCCCTTGTCCCCTCACTCCCGGCTGCTCCTCAACCCCCTTTCAGGAGGGGCCACATCCTTTGGGTATCTACTCCTTTCTCTTGGTCCCTGGGATTCAACTAGCTCTGGCTTCAATCCCCTACAAAAATTCCTGAGTTCTCGGGGACCCCAGCCAGCTCCTCCCCTGCAGTACCCCTTGATGGGGAGGGGCTGGGAAGCCCATGAGAGTTCATAGGAGTGTGTACAGGAGCGTGGGTCAGGAGCACAGGGGAGCCTCTGAGTCCCCTGCCCGCTCCAAAAGCACACAAAGGGGAAGGCTGCCGTAGAGCTTAGGGTCCGTGAGGGGCTGGAGCAGAAGCAGGAAGAATCCCACACCCAGGGCATAGCCTGCCAGCAGGAGCCGCCTCTGCGGATGCTCCAAGGCCGCACATACGGCAGGAAAGCCCATGTAATTGCAGAAGGAGTGGCAGAGAACCGGCCCAATCAGGTGTCCTGGGGAGGGGAGACAGAGTAGCTCATGGAACAGCCCCACCACCTCCCCAGGCCCTTCCAGGGCTAAGACCCTTCATTCCCTAAAACAGGAGATCACTGCCCCACCCATCCACCCACACACCACAGCCTGTGCTTCCTGCCAGCTCTCAAACCACACCAGGCCGAGGGCCCAGGCTCAGCCTGTCTCAAGGACTGCGGTAGAAGAAACTTGTCGCTCCTAGAACAAACACAGATTCCCATTCTCCCACCCATTCCTGTGGGCCCTTGAGCCCCAGGGGACCCGAGAGACTGAGGACCAACCTGTGCGAATGAAGAGGAAAGCAGTGTAGGCACCGAAGACAGCTGTGTAGGAGAACTGGAACGCTGGAGACGGGGAGGCCTCGAGTGACCACACCTGCATGCCCTTCCTGCCCCAGCACTGCACACCCATCAGCCAGAGACAACCCCTTCCCCTGGGGGCAGTGGCTGCCTGCCCCAGTACCTAGACTGTTCTCTACACCCCAACTCCCATGGTCAGCGGCCCCTCCAATACTGTAGCCCTCTGTTCCCCATTCTTCCTCCAGAGTGACTTATCAGGGACACCCTCACACACCCAACCCAGGACTGCCCCAGGCAAGCTCTCTAGGACTCACCTGCAGACAAGAAGATGCTCCCCACACTGCTCTGGCGGAAACGAAGCTGCTCAAAAATGTGGTGAAAATGGGCTGAGGAAGATGAGAACCACATCACATTCCTCCCAGCCTGCCCTATAGGCCCTGCCCTTGCCCCAAACCCCACTCTTGGTTCCCATGCCAGGAACATTTCAGTAGGACCAGGCTGGACAAACTCACCAACTCCAAAGAAGAGTGGGCAGGTGAACACAGCAGGGCCCAGGCCTGTGCACGGTGCTAACATGGGGAGCATGCAGGCCCGGAACACCAGCTCCTCTGTCAGGGGGGCGATCACTTGGTTCCGCAGCCAGCGCATGTCCGTGAGGCAGCGGGACCAAGAGCGAGGGGCTAGGGAGGGGATTCAGGGCAAGCAATGAGTGACTAGCTATTGAACAAAATGACCCTAGAGGCCCCAAGGGCCCCTCTGCCACAACCTCCCCCTGGCCAAACTCAGCTTAGGCATAAATACTTGTGAGAACTGGAAAGGGTCAAATTTTCTTATCGGACCTAGTATAAAACAGTGTCTCAAGGGGACCGAAAGGGAAGGCATTAGTAGCTGAGGCAAGGTGTCCTGACTGTAAACTCTGGAAACATCAAAACTTGCCCAAAACCAGCTCAAGTTTGGGAAACCAAAGGTTAAGGGAAGTAACGGACAATGCTTTCTTGTCCGCAACAAGTACTGCCTGGGGTCCCTACAGGCCTCACTGGACATCAGGAACTAACTCTTTGAGACCACCGGATATGTGCTCCCACTTTACTGATGAGGAAACAGAACATCTCACGTCTCATGTCCAGGACCCACCATAAGCGCATTGATCCCCTTACCTGGACTGCCTGTACCTACTTTTTTCCTTGGCCCTGAGGACTCACCTAGGACAACCTTCAACCTATCTGCCAGGTCACAGGGGCAATCCATAGAGAGCTGCATCAGCGGGCCCAGGAAAAGGATCTGGGGGCAGAAAAACAGGAGCGATCAAAGGAAAGTTTCAAACCATAATCCACTGCCCTTGCCCAGACATGGCTTCATGAGACTTCAAGCTTCCTGTTCTCTGCCAGGATTTCCCACAGATGCATACCCGAGGGCCCTGAGCCATCTCACAATTCTTGTCTCCCATCAGTCAAAAGCTGGATACAATCCGGATTAGAAAAAAAGGCCACGGAAAGAAGCGTCACGCTAATAACAAAGAGCAGAGAAGGAAAAATAAAGCAAGAGCACTCACCATGGTCAGCAGCAGGGGCAGCAGCGCTGCTGGAAAAATGCCCTCCAGCCTGAATCCCATCAGGGTGAGCAGGGATGTGCCTGGCTGAGCCACAGGAAAGGGGGCATCAGTCTTGCTTCCTCCCCCAGTGAGCCCTGAGATCTCTCGCCCGCTGCCCTCTGCCCCGCCTCCTTCGCACCTGGATGCCTGTAAGCTCCCTCCAGAGTAGCACGCAGAGGGGCGAGAGACTTGACACTACCAGGACACTGGTGAAGCGCCGCTTGATTACGGCAGGATGGTCCCTAAGAAGGAGGCAGTAAGTTCAAGGGGCCCACAACCACCTCCTGACAGCACGGCCCCACCCTCTGTTCGCCCAAGCTCCGCCCACAGCCCCGCTTCGTGGACGCGCGCAGCCCCCGCACCTGGGCAGCTCGCTCTTCCAGACGTAGAGGCTGCCCACATAGGAGCAGGCGAGGCTGAGACAAGAGAACACGGACACCCAGCAGCACAAACCAGGGCCTGGACCGCCCAGAGCCGCCGACTCGGGCTGCCGCTCCGGCCGCGACACCGACAGCAGGCGAAGCCCGTCCCCGCCCAGCGCCGCCATCGCGCCCGGACCCGCGGCGCGCCCCAGTGACGCGGTCCCGCCGCTGCCAGGCCAGCTCCGGCCGGAAGCGTGGTGACGTCACCCGGCGGCGCGTGCTCCAGCCCCGCCCCCGACTCCTCCCCGACACTGAAGCAGAAGCTGCGCGCGCAGAGTAGGTTTATTGAACTACAGACAACATGCGGCCCCGGCAGCGGCGGGGCAGACGTGGAGGCGGCTGGAGGGGGTCCGGTTCAGGACGCAGAGCCGGGACTCAGCCACTCGGACAGATTGGAGATTTCCTGCAGCCACAGCGCGTCCTGCGGGAGGAAAGGGGGCCCGGGGTGAGGACCCCTCGGCAGCGGCCGGGTCCCCGCCCTCCCGCCGCGCCCTCCCCTGCGCGGCCTTAGCCCGGTTACCTCCAGGCCGCTCCTGGGGCCCGTCCTGTTTCTGCTAGGGGTCAGGGGAGCCGCGGTGGGTTCCGCGCGGCCCAAGGCGGCCTCTGACGGGTTCAGGGCCCGAGGGGAGCGGAAAGCCCGCGTCTCCTCCACTCCTTGGCAGAGGCTGCCTCTTCTGAGACTCTTGTTTTCTACTTGCCCGCTGGTCCCTAAGAGAAAACAAGCCCGCTCATCTTACTCCCATGTCCTGTGCTAGGACGACCCTTGGGGGAAACCTGGGAGAAAGGGAGGAGCTGGAGTCCGGCTCTCTTAGCCCTCCCACCTCAGGACCCTTTCATCTGGTCCTGTCCGGATCAAAACCCGGCAGCTCCGGGTCTTCAGGGTCAGGCTGAGGCTGCACAATGGCTTCGGGGTCTCTCTGTAGCCACTGAGCTGGGCCTGGGAAGAGGCATCTGGGATTGAACCAAGCCCTCACTTGGGGCTTGCGCCCACTTGGTCACTTCACACACATTCCTCGTGGAGTCTGCACCATCCAGCTCCTCCCGCCCTGCCAAACTGATTCCCCTGCCAGAACGCTGGCCTCACCTCTCTCCCCCTTTGTTGGGCACGCTGCTTAGGCAGTGCGAACTTAAAGTAAGTTTGGATCTACAGGTTCTTCCTGAGCACGTCCTAGGAACGTAGATCAATGAGCTGTTCCCTGGGTGAAGCTCACAGATGCTAGGAACGATGCAGAAGTTTGTACAAAGTCCAGGGGTAAAACAAGCTGTTAACCATCTCTGTAAGTGAAAAATTGTTTCCTTGAGGAGATGTCTGAGATGGGTTTTGAAGGATGAAGGGTAATACACCGGACTGACAAGGCAGAGGAAAGGATTAACAGGCTGAAAGGGTTAAGCAAACACCCAAAGGCATTAAACAGTATCCCGCACAAAATGCAAAGTGCGGGGGGTCCAAGGAGATGAATCCGAATGGGTTAGTGGGAATCAGAGAAGGCTAAGAAATGGATTTTTATCTGTAGGAAATAGGAAGGCAGTGAAGAGTTTTTAAACACTGGAGATATATTGTTAATTTTGTATTTCAGAACAATCATCATTTGTCAAAGGAGTGGCTTAGAGTCAGCTTAGAGGAGGGAAGACCTCAAGAGCCCAGAAAAAGTGAAGGCAGCGGGGATGGAGGAGTCAGAATTATTCATAAGGCCAAATTGACAAGCCTTGGTAGTAGACTGGATATGAAACATTAGAATGGGGGGCATCTCAAACGAATCTCAGGTTTCAGATGTGAAAAACTAGATAGGTTGTGCTAGTAGTCATGACAGAGACTGAAGAAAAAAGAGCTGATTTTGGGTGTGTGTGCAGAGGGCAAGATATCAGGAGAAAGGAAATTGAGGTACCAGTGGGACCGCCATATGTAGCAGCCTAGTGAGCAGATATATCTCCCACCTAACACTCAGGAGAGACCTGGAATGGTCATACCAGCTGAGGAGTCTTCTGCCCAGAGGCAGCGGTCAACGCCTGGGATGGAAGAGAGCAGCTAGGGAGGGACTGCAGTATGAGCACTATTTGGGGGTGGCCAGAGGAAGCTAGTCGAAGAGAGAAGAGATGGGGAGAACCTGGTGAGTCGTAGTCTCACAGTGCCAAGCTCTGCAAATAGTCCAGGTGTGATAAAGATAAATTCACAGTCATCAATTTGGTAATTAAGAGGCCTTCCCAAACAAGAGACCGCAGTTCAGAGGCCACAGGGAAAGCAAGTGCCCTGGGTTAGGGAGAGAATGAAAGAAAGAGGGAAACAGTGTAGCTTGCTTTTTTGAGAACCTTGACTGAGATGTGATGGAGAGAGATAAGTGGGAGAAGTTCAAGATCATGGGAGATATCCTTTTGAAATGGACCTCCTGAGGGAAAGGAACTCAGAAAAGGAGTTGAAGGTGCAGAGATGATAACATGCTACCAAGAAAGCAGTAAGGATAATGCCACCCCTTAGACTGGAGGGGGTGAGTCCCTATGCTGATAAGGTTCTGGCAGTGGGGGGAGTACAAACTGGGTGAGTTTACTGAAAAAAGAGATTAGTAAGTGAAGTAGGAGGCTAAATCAGGAGGACGAGGCTTGGTAGTTTTTTAAAAGAATGGAGTGGAGGGCTTCCCTGGTGGCGCAGTGGTTGAGAGTCCGCCTGCCGATGCAGGGGACACAGGTTCGTGCCCTGGTCCGGGAAGATCCCACATGCCACGGAGCAGCTGGGCCCGTGAGCTATGGCCGCTGAGCCTGCACGTCCGGAGCCTCTGCTCCGCAGTGGGAGAGGCCACAACGGTGAGAGGCCCTCGTACTGCAAAAAAAAAAAGGATGGAGTGGCCACTGAGGAGAAGGCCAGGAAGACAATGGAAAGAATTGACAAACTGAAGGCTCCTCAGGGGATGGACCACAGGTGTACAGGCGGCATCACACACTTAGTGATTTTTTTCAGTGTAGCTGCCCATGTGGAACATAGGACTGATGGCAACTAGAGTTGCAGCTCTGTAAGGCAGAGCAGCTCAAACACTCTTCTAGGGGGCGGTCTACCAGATCATAAACACCTAGATTTTAAGGCTTATGTTGCATTGTAGAGAAAACATGAGCTTCAGAGGCAGCAGGAGTTCAGATCCTCCTCCTGCTAAGTGCTCTATCCTATCTCTGAACCTGGGTTGTCTCTTGTGAGAGGGGGCCAGTGCTACCCACCCCAAAGGGTCACTGTGAGAGTGGTCACTGGAAGAGCCTAGCATCTCCCTGGGTCCACAGAAGATGCTGAATTAAAAGTTAATGTTTTTCTTCTAAGGAAAGTACTTATTCTTTTGTCTTTTCACTACATAAATACTGAATCGTATTCAGTATACTGAATTGTGCTATATGATACACTTCCATTCTCCTAAATCTCCAAATCTAAATTATAGATTCTTGGCTTTGTACCAGCCTTCGCTGCAGGGTTCTTTTCGGGAGGAACAGCCCCCACAACATTTAAAATACAGTTTAAGTGACAGAATGATTCAGAAACACATCTTAGGCCTAAGCACAAACGCCATGCAGTATGTTGTAGCTGTTACCCTGGAAAGAGGAATTTTACCAACAAAGCACGGTGCTGAAAGCAGTCCCCAAATTCCCTCAAGCCCAGGCATTGTTTGGTCCAACAGTGCATCCCCACCAGCCTGGCTCTGTTAGAGACAGACCAGAGCCAGACTGCCTGGGTTTGAATTCTGGCTCTGTCGTTTACTAGCTGTGTGACCTCAGGTAAGTTTATTGACATCTCTGGGCCTCTGTTTCCTCATCTGTAGAATGAGGATAATAATAGTACCATAGTATTGTTTTGAGAATTAAGAGCGTTAATACACTTTCAAATCTCAGACTAGTGCCTGGCACCTGCACCATATCAGTTCAAGCACCAGTGGCTATGATTATTTTCAGACATACACACCTGCTACTGCAGGCCCTGAAGGCTGTTTAAGTGTTGGAGGGAGGGGAAAAGACAATATAATCACCGTCACATTACACTCACTGACACCTCCCCATAACATTTATCAAGGTTGAGGTGGTGTCTGCATCCAGGAGCAGACTCCGGAGCCCCAAACACAGTAGTAACCAGAACTAAGGACGGCCACAGTAGCAACACTATAATGATGAAAACACGAAGGAACCAACTGAATTCAGGGCCCCGCCCCATCATGTGCAGCTATCTAACTGCAGGAACTGTGAGAAATTTCTAGTCCTATCATACCAGCTTTTGGAAGGGAATGCCTCCTGCTGCCCCAGAATACCCAGAGTGGTGGTGGGAGCCAACCAAATCCCAGAACATTGCTGTGGTGTAAGGTGCTGCCTGAAAGTTTGAAGTCACATCTTTTACTTCCCAGCTTTGATCCAGGGCTCACCTGAAAAGCTGAAACCTTACCTGCAAGGAGCTCCAGGCTGCTGTTCTCATGTGCATCCTCTGTGCTCTGCTCTGCATTATTTTTCTCTGGGAGCAGCTGCTTAAAAAATTAGAAGTCCTAAGTGAGTTTTGCAGAAGCATGAACAAGCCCCAGTGAGATCACGTGCCTGGTGGCTTTGTTGACCTCACAGGGCTTTCCTCCTTCACCTGAAACCCCCTATTACTTCCTCCTGGCTCATGTGAACCCCCTGCCCAGCCCCCAACTTTTAAGACTTCCTTCTTCTTTTGGAGGCTTTGCAGTTCACTCCAGCCATTCCGGGCATTTCCTAGTTTTTCTGAACTCTGGTCACTCATGTACTGTCTGCTCCATTCCTTGGGCTCTTTTAAGTATGCATTGCATGCCCCTTTTCATCAATTTATGTATTTATGTCCATTTTCTACATCTTAAATTCCTTGTAAGGTTCATCATGCCTGTATCTCTTTTACAGCTAGCATAGTGCCTTGCACACGGTAAGTGCTCAATAAATGACTGTCTGAGGTCAAACATGGGAAGCCACAGGGCACATTTTGTAGTCTTGTGTAGTCTTTCAAAGCCCTGCTATTTGGTTCAATTTGGATAGAGAAACAAAGGTCAGAACCCAATCCTCCCAGCTCCTTGTTTTTCAATACAAGTATATAAAAATAGATATCCTCCTCAACAAAATTAAAAACTTTTGTGCTTCAAGGGACACTTGAAAGTGAAAAGTCAACCCACAAGAATGGGAGAAAATATTTGGAAATCATATCTGATAAGGGACTTGTATCCAGAATAAAGAACTCATAGTTCAACTTTAAAATAACAACCCAATAAAAAAATGGGTTTGACAAAGAATTTGAATAGACATTTCTCCAAAGAAGAGATATAAATGGCCAATAAGCACATGAAAAGATGCTCAACATCATTATTCATTAGGGATATGCAAATCAAAGCCACTAAGAGATACCACTTTATACCCACTGGGATGGTAGTAATAATAATAGATAATAACAACTGTGGATGAGGATTTGGAAAAATTGGAACAATTACACAGTGCTGGTGGGAAAGTAAAATAATGCAGCCAGTTTGGAAAACAGTTTGAGTTACCATATGACCCAGCAATTCTGCCCCTAGCTATACACCAAAGAGAATTACAAACATATGTACACACACACACAAATGTTTACATCAGCATTATTCATAATAGCCAAAAAGTGGAAATAACATGTCTATCAACTGATGGATGGATTAAAAAATGTGGTGTATATCCATACAATGGACTATTACTCAACCATAAAAAGGAATGTACTGTTACCTGTTACAACATGGATGAACCTTGAAAACATGGTAAGTGAAAGAAGCCAGACACAAAAATCCACTTATTGTATGATTCCATTTATATGAAATATCCAGTATAGGCAAATCTACTGAGAGGAAAAGTAAATTAGTGGTTGCCAGGGGACAGGAGATAGGAGAATTGGGACTGACTGCAAATTAGGTACAAGGTTTTTTCTTTGGCGTGATGGAGATGTTCTGGAATTTACTGGTGATGGTTGCAAACCACAGTGAATATACTTAAAACCACTGAATTGTAAATTTACAGTGGTAAATTTTATGGTATGTGAATTATAACAATAAAAAATGTATTCTATCATATGTTGTTTAACAAGGCAAGTTTCAGTTTCTAAGTAATTATATTCCAAGAAACATAGAAGAGGTAAAGATGGCCCTAAAGGTGTGAAAAAAGAAACAGTATTAGGAAAATTTCCAAACATCTTTTTTCTTCTTTAAGAAAAAGCTTAGGGGGCTTCCTTGGTGGCGCAGTGGTTGAGAATCTGCCTGCCAATGCAGACGACACAGGTTCGAGCCCTGGTCTGGGAAGATCCCAC